CTGCAGAATTATTGAGTATATGGCACAAACTGCCTGCAGAATACACATCCAATTTTGATCTTCAAATACGACTTCCATGCTATGTTCACTACAACAGACCTGATTGGACAACACATTGGGATGGACCGGCTACTGCTCAAGCAAATTGTTATTTCTGTAAATTATCCATTCGAAAATAAACAAAAAAAAAACTTGAATAAATGCTTAGTACACAGCTATATTTTTTCATTCATCATGTCGCAGTTGTTGAGAGTCAATAGCACTACTCATATATTTTCATTTCGTCCTTCAACACCGATAGTGTTGGATCCGAAAAAAGATTATGAATTGGCGCTTAGGTCTTTTACTTCATACAATTCCATACCGAATATTGAAAAAGGAGATAAATTTTATTATATCGACCGGATAGGTGGTGGTGGTGGTCAATTAAAAGTCATCGAGTTTCCGACAGGTTGTTATGAAATTACCGACATAGAAACATTTATACGAACGCAAATGAATCTTGAAAATGAAGTTGCTCCTCCGGATGATTATTTTTCTCTAAAACCTAACAATAATACACTGCAATGTGAAATCTTTAGCAAGTATTATAAAATAGTTTTTACAGAACCGAATAATCTTGGACATCTATTGGGATTCTCGAAAAAAGTTCTTAATCCTGGTCAAAAGCATTCTTCTGATTTACCTGTAAACATAATAAAAGTATCAACCATACACTTTGATGCTAACATTACGTCGGGAGCCTTTGACGGAGACACGCCTGCACACACGATCTACGAATTTGCTGTGACAGCCGATCCTGGATACGCTATAGTCGAAACACCTGTAAATTTACTATATCTACCTGTTATACCGAAACAAGAAATAACCAACATCACAGTGTTGGCTTTAGATCAAGACGGTCGTCCTGTAAACTTTCAAGGTGAAACTAGTACTCTTGTGTTGGAGTTGAGAGCGAAGCGCAGATGGGATTAGTGATTATAAGACATAGTGGTGCTTCCAAGGCAACTTCAGTATTACCCCAAGCACCTAAGCGACGACATCTACTACTAACTACATCAAATATCCTGTTTCTACGCTCACTTGGATATCATGTCAACAACAACAAGAATCATGTACAAAAAGAGAAAAACTGAGGAGGCAGCAGCAGCAGCATCACATACTTCTCCGATGTTTGATCTATATCGATCTCCAGCATTCGATGAATCTATTCGCAAGGCTGAGTATAGATCTTATACGCCGTTCATCAAGTCATTTAATTGTAATGATGTTGTGGAATTTAGCATCAATCAAGTAGATTCGTTCTTTGCAATGAACGCTTCCCTTCTATCTATCAAAGGGAAAGTTGAAATAACTGGAGGAGGAGCAGGAGATGTATCTTTAGCTCCAAACTTTGGTGCCTTCCTATTTGACTCTTGCACTTACAGTGAATCCGCTAGAGAAGTTGAAACAGTACGTGATCCTGGTATTGTAAGTACTGTCCGAGCTTACGTATGTTACAGTGAGGAAGACTCAAATCATATGGCTATAGCTGGATGGAACTATCCTTCAACACCTATAATGGCGTCAACACATAACAAGTCTTTTAGCTTGCTAATGCCGCTTAAACATATTTTCAACATTTTCAATGATTATCCTATGATTACGTGTGGCAGACAAACTCTCAGATTTGTGAGAGCTAGAAACGATAACGATTGTATCATTATCAAGGAAAAAACTGGAACGACGACGACAGCGAAAATAACTATTGAAAGCATGGAACTGAAAATCAAACATATTTACCCGAGTGATGATGTGAAAGAACAACTTTTGAAAGCTATTCAAACTGATAAGCCGATACTTATACCGTTTAGAAAATGGGATCTGAATGAACTGCCTGCAATTACCGCAGATGCGAGAAGAGAAATATGGTCAGTTAAAACTAGCACCGCAATCGAAAGACCACGTTTCATTATAGTATGTTTCCAAACCGGTAAACGTGACGTCGCAACCTCAGACCCTACCCTGTTTGATCACGTGAATGCTGCTAGTATTCGAGTATCTTTAAATGGTGAATACTATCCCAACGAACGTATGCAATTGGACTTTGCAAACAATCACTTTACTGAAGCTCATTTCAACTATAGCGACTTTCAAACCAGCTATACAACTTCTTCTTCTCCTCTGAAGAGATGTCTTTTAGATTATACCGCTTTTAAAAATCGCGCTTTGTTTGTTATTGACTGTTCCAAACAAGAGGAAACCATGAAATCATCAACTGTTGATGTTAGATTGGATATCGAAGCCGATACTGGCTTTCCAACCAACACCAAGGCCTACTGCATCATTATACATGACTGCTTAATCGAGTACTTCCCCCTCACCGAAGTTATTAAAACCATCTCGTAAGCAACGAAGGACTCTCAGTTCCGCATCAGACATCATGAGGATCGCGTTTGTTGACATTCAAGGCTTTACAGTTGACGGATTATTCGTACCTAAAGAACTATGTATCGAAATTGGTTTCAAGAAAAGTCATTACATCTTTACACCTCCGCAACCTTTTTCAACATTAAATACTAAAGACAAGAAAACTGTCGCTTACTTGGAGAAGAATTTCCATGGGCTTAAATATTCTTCCGGCGACGTTAAATATTCCAAGTTAAATGAAATAATTAAAAATAAGGTGATATATGCGGCTGACTATGTCTACGTTCGTGGAGAACAGAAAGCAAACTTTTTACTCAAGAAATGTCACATTTTTGGTGTTTTTCCCAACATTATTGATGTTTGCAAGTATGATGGTACACCGTGTGCTACTGGAAACTTTGTTGCTGATTCCAATCCATGCCACACCAACGGACAATTTTCCTGTACCCAGAGAAATGTTGAACGTCTACGCCACTGGTTTTCAAATATCATATTACCTATGTAGTTTTTTCTATTTTCAATAAAATATTAAACGTATTATTGTAGTTTTATTGAAAATACCTCTGTCAGAATGTCTATACTATTTTCATTTTGAACGGTATCATCCTGTATAATAATAACAGTACATCGTATACAGGTTATGAGACATTCTGACCGACCGACCGACCGACCAGAGGAGCCCACCACGCTATTTAGGTCACGCCTTGCTATATACGATTTAACGATATACCGTCGGTTCATCGATCCGCTATTTTTCGATGCACCCCTGTATACACGTTCTGAATGCCCCCCGTAATCCACGCCAACACCATACAGGTGCGACATCGGCGCCATCTATGCGCGAGATGCCCAACCCATCAATGGCAGCTGTCCAATGACACATAGATTCCGTTTGGTTTGTACAGCGCCAAACAAATCGGCGCCATCTATGCGCGAGATGCCCAACCCATCAATGACAGGTGTCCAATGACGTATGACAGATGACGTTTTAACGCCATCTATGCGTGAGATGCCCAATGACGCATGACAGGTGTCAAATGACACACAGATTCCGTTTGGTTTGACAGCGCCATCTAGCGGCGGAATCCCCAACTCATGAATTTCGATTACAGATTCCGTCCAACAACCTGTCAATGGCGCGCGACGCCAGCGCCTCTGGTGGCGGATTTTGGAAGTTTTGAGACCGAATCCCCATAAGACATCTACTCCTGTGCCTAACTTTTATATTGTGTTGGTTTTTGGCATTGCAAACCGCTCCGTTATATTTACTTCTGGACTCGACGTCGGCTTGTCTGTTTTCTACAGTGGGGTTTTGTAAGAAGGTTCTTTGTGCCTTGATCTTCTGCTGGCGAGCAGTGTCACACGATTTGTTAAACCAACCGTTGGACCCTGGTTTATGCACTTTCACTGTGTGAGGGATGTATTCCTCCATTCCGACGTGGATAATTTCTGTTATCGAAGAATAGATAGCCGACGCATCCGCGTCAATGAAACAGACATCTCTCAAAGGAAAGCTAGAGAAAAGGTCTCTGAGCCCCTCCCAGTCAGCATGTCCGTAATGCCAAGTTTTGCGGCTACGAGTTTCTGCTGCGACAGCGGGTTCTGACCAAAACCTAACCTCCACAACACCGTGATCTGACTTACCCACGGGGGACAGGACAGCAGTGCTGTAAAGGAACAGAACGCGTGGTCAGAAACAGATCCAGCAGGCTAGTGGCGTGTGACGAGACGCGAGGGAAAAAAGTAGGGCTCTTCAGCAGCTGGGTCAGCCCTTGAATAAGAGCGAACGCTTCGACTGCACGACCTGCTGCATCGTCTTGTTTGAGGTCAACTAAAGCTCATTATGGGCATTGAAATCACCGAGAAGAACTACCTCTGAAGCGGGGTGATTGATGATCAGGAAGTCGATCTGGACGGCGAGGTATTCGAGTAGGTCATACCAGTTATGGGCGGCGGGAGAGCGATAAAGGCAGCAAATGAATTTGGGTGATGTTTTGGAGTTGAGGCGAAGCCTCAGGGTGTCCTTCCGGTCTGATTCCAAAGAAGCATCTCTGGAACAGGAAAGACTGCTGCGGACAAAAGCCACAACTCCCTCGTTCTATCTCCTCGTAGTTTGGGAAGTTGAGATGGTCAATCGGTGCATACTCTGAGATTTTTGTCTCCGCCAAGAAAAGCACGGCGGAACGATTGGATTGCAGGTAGTGATGAACAGCATCATTGTTGCTGTTGATCGCGCAGATGTTCGAAAAACAAATTTTATGTTCGATGTTGTTCCCTCGAGCCCACCCTCCACCCGGACATTCCGAGAGTGGAGTGAGTTTACGACCGGAGTTCTTAGTGCCCGAGGGATGCACCTTCATCATTTTCTTTGTTTTGGAAGATAATCGGCTGCATAGTTTAGGTGTGGAAACATGTGGGCATTTTTTAGACACTCTGGGAAAAGTTAGCGGGTGGTACCGCCTCGGTCGACTGGTCCTTGTCTACCACCTTCTTTCTACGTGTTAGTGATATTAAATAGACCTAAAGTGGCCCGTTGGCAGACTTGTACCGCCACCCGGCAATCGGTACTCAGGTATTCCTTGACGCGTGTACAATCACTTGAACGGGAAGAAGTTGTATACTAAATGTTGGAAAGTTTGACAGAAGTTGCTAAAAAATTGAAATGGTTCATAGTCTGGCAAAGCAATATTTATTCCGATACCGACGTCTTCTGTATGCTAGTCCAGAAAAATTTCATCACCTACTATTTAATATGAAGCAAGTTTAGATCCTTTAACGTTAGTCACGTTGCGTCTGACTAGGAATATTGAAGGATATCCGCTTTTCCGTTAGCAATAATTATCATCCTGAAAGTAGTTACCTTGCAGAACGTCCATGAAATGTTCAATTTCCTGTTTGTATGCTTCCTGGTAACGAGACGCAAAGGAATAGTAGATCGGGGATGCTTTTATTGCGTCCGGCAAAAACTGTTGCACGTTTTGCATCGGGCATCGGTTTTCTGCTTTCAGCATGCCTTTCTCTCCGAATACCTGAATGAAAAATGAAAATGTGAGAGTACTTCTTTGAATTCGATACGGCGCAATATGATCCATGAAATAAAGGGGTGAGTCTATAGTTGCTGTCAGTATGAAGGTATCTTTGACCAGACCTATCGAATATTGTAACTTCAAAAGTGAAAAATTATGTGTTTGACGAAAAATGGCAGCTACTGAACATCGGGTCACGTTTTTGAAAACTTACCACCACGGATTTATCGAAAACCACTGAGTAAAAGAAAAAACGCAGAGACACGTCAAAAGGTTTGTCGAGGGGACCAACTTTTTAACCAAATACTACTTCACCCTCTTTCACCTTCTGCCCCCCAGGGTCATCCCCTTGAAAATTGTAAATGACAAGGAGTACCGAGTAATAGCATTTGGAAGGTCTTTTGAAGTCTTTTATATTGACGTTCGATTTTTCAAAATCGGTCAATTCCTGTTCAAAAAAGTTAGAAAAATCTTTAACCCTTTCCAGCCCAGCGACTCCAATTGGAATATATTGCCTAAAGCCACGACAGAAAACTGAAAATAAATAGAAATAGAAATCCCAGGCAATATATTATAGCCAGTAGATCACAGATGGCGACACGCATACCAGTTTGTGAAATATCGATTGACATTTCGATTTTTAGGTTAATTCAAAGTTTACAGTATTGTGTGTAATAATTATTGTTTGTTCTTGAATAAAATCAAGGTAAGCTTATATTTTATGTGTTTAATATTAATACAAATAGCATTATTAGGTCATTAGTAATACAAAATGAGGTTTTTATTGAAATCATAGTAAAATTGTTGAAACTATGTACTTAGAATGTTATGATGCCAAATGGAATCAGTGGGCCTAACGCCACTTTAATAATGATTCCAATTGGCGTCAGTGGGCCACTGTAATCTACTATTTTCATAGGTGTTAGACGTTATTATTTACGAATAATTTACCATCTAATAGATATTTGCATCGTCAACGCATGGCTCTTCAGGAGAGACTGTTCAGCAAGAGGAATCAAAAAATTTAAACGACTGGTCACTTTCAGAGCTGAAGTTGCACTTGCAATGTTGCAACAGAATGCACCATTACGGCGAAGAGGACGCCCGTCGGATGCAGAAGTTGAACAGCCTCCACGAAAACGACCTGTTGTGCCCAGACCGATAGATGATGTGAGATTTGATGGATTTTCTCACTGGCCAGAACACATAGAACCAAAGCAGAGATGTAGGAATTGCATCAAATCGTATACGAGAATTTCTTGCATGAAATGCAACATGCCTCTATGTTTGTCAAAGGAAAAAAATTGTTTTATTAAATTCCATAATCAGTAATTTTAAATGTTTACTACTCTTACTACTCTTTTGTTATAACTAAAATTAAATCTAAAATAAACCATTATCAATTTACATTTTTCTTATCTTACGCCCACTGATTCCAAATGGAGTCATCATTTTTTCTCCTAAAAAAAAATTGTTTTCAGAAAAAAACATTTTTACCGTAATTTTTAGACCATAATTACACAGAAAAAAATTTTTTTTTTTTTTGGTAAAAAAAAATTGGGCTTGAGAGGGTTAATTATCTTAATATGTTCAGAGAGAAAACAAAAATACACGAAAATATCACTTTTTATTTCAATAAGTGTTTAACGTGCTGCCAGTTATTGGCCAAACAACGATATAGGCGATGTTCAAACTTCATTTTCAAAAACATGTTGTGGGATATCATGGCAGCTTTCGATGATGCGTTGTCGAAGTTCATCCAAACTTTCAGGTTGGGGAGTAAACACAATAGATTTTAAATGGGCCCGTAGAAAAAGTCTAATGGCGTCAAATCAGGAGATCTAGCAGATCATTCTTCGCCCTATCTGTTTCTCTGGGAACTCGTGAACTCGTCGTCTAGCCATTGCCGAACCGTAAGAACATGGTGACGAGGAGCGCCGTCTTGCTGGAAATTTCAGCCTCATCAAGCATAGGGTTTCCATCCTCTTTGATTTGGTTTTCAATGGCTTCAGTGATGAGCGGATTGATGGTATTTTCCAACATATCCGAATAAATGTCTCCATTCAGATTTCCATTAATTCATCACTCTAGCAGGTATTCTTTACACGAATGGCATTACCATTAATCGCTGCAGTCACTTGTTCACAAAACCCAAGTCGCGTATCGAAATCATCTTCGGTTAACTCTTGCAATATTTTCATTTTGAATGGATGGAATTTCCCTTAGCAACATAAAATTAAATAGGTATATCAATAAATACAGTTCACCCAGATATCTGTGTTGATGAAAAGAATGAAGGAAAATTCGGGTTGTTATTTGGTTGTTGCCACGTCTAATCTTCCGAATTGCTGTTTATGTTGGTAGTTTCGGTTTTAAATTTTAAACGGACAAATTAAGATAAATGAAGACTTTTCTGATTTTTTTCGATAACGAATTGACTTTCGAACGGAATACTCTGTATATTTCAGCATCTACTCAAACGTCTCTTCAAATGAAGAAGCTTAACATAGCCAATTACTATTACGTTTGAATCGCTACATCTGGAGTTACTGGATAATTTGCAGAAAAAACACTTGGCTTGTTAGCTGGTAGGCCACTTTTTCGGATTCCGTCAGCATGAGATTCATATCCAGTAGTGTCTCGTCACTTTTTTTGTGTTTCATATTTTATGCATCATGGTGCTTGGAGATTATAAACCAAAAATTTACTTTAACATAAAAAATTCAAATCATCTTGTATATATTTGTGCTTTCAGGTTATACCTTCTTATTTACGTATGAAATTGTTGGGGGTTGAATTGTTAAATTCCAAATTTATTTTCAATTTTCCAAAAACCACAACACAAAATATATAACTATCACATTTATCGTGGAGGGAAGAATATTTAGTTGGTCCACATAAGAAGCGTAGATGCTTACAATATTCGTAACATTTTTATATATAAAAGAACCGAGCCATCGTATACAATTCATAGACAATTACACAATGCGTATACAATGCGTAAGCAATGAAAAAAATACGTATACAATGTATACAACGGTGTAGACAATGTATAGAATAGTATAAGTGAGGTAAAGTTTGCTCACAAACGTCAAAACATTAGTGAACCTGCTATTGCTACATAAGCGCAAATCAAAACAAAAACTATAATGAATTTTGAACTTGAAGGAATATCTTCATCACAATGTGGTAGTCAATGCTAGTAACAGCTGTAATCGTAGCCGCACCCGCAATTTTTTACCTAACAGTACCGTCAATAAAAAATACAGATGCTCTATCGGTGGTTTGCACCGGTTCGGGTTCAAGTGAGGGTTAGTGCTAACTTAGGTTTAGTCTTTGCACCATCGTAGTTATCTCGGAATTAAGGCCTAACTTTGGGATTAATTTACCTCTCACTTGAACTAAGTGTTAAGGCGGATAACACCATGAAAATGTAGAGTAACACCTGCGCATCGCAATGCGTACTGACAATAAAAAATCGCTTAGTGTACTTGATTTGCTTTTAAAAATATGGCAACATTCTATGTGCAAGGATTCAAACAAAACACAATTATTTTTAGAAATCATATAATAATCATCTTTAAATCACAAATTCTAAAAATACCCATTGATGATTTACGTTCTCGTTGTGGATGCTGGAAGTGACGCAACATCTATGTTGATGTATGTTATTTCATGTCTTTCCAGAAGTTGGTTGAATGTATTGGGATCCAACTCACCTGGTAAAGGTGGCACATTCTCATCTCCACCAGCAATAACTATATTACGTAGCACTGCCGTACCCTCAATTATGTTCAAAAAAGTGCAAACCACCGTGAAAAGTGTACATACAAATCCACAGGTACTTCCAACTTGTCTCTAATCTTTTCAAGCACAGTGAGGACAGTATGTTTTGGTAACCTGAACCGTTTTCTGAACGTAGAGCATTCCATCTTCCGCAAATATTATTGTCGTTCGTAAATTCGTCTAGGTATGCCAAACTCCAATAATTCCAGAGGAATAAGGTCATCCTCGTCGAATTCTTGATTATTTATGGTTACGTCTATAATTACCAGGGTGCTTTGTGGACAATGCGGTCGGCTGGATGATGCGACTTGTCGATCCACAACGAAAAATATTTTCAAAATCCCAACTTCCAAACAGAATCAAATATATACTTTGAAGTTCAGTCATTAATTTTCAGATAATGCTTGTAGAAGGAAGATAAACAAAAATATGTGTGTAAAAATAAAAAAAAAATAAAAAAATGTTACCTTGTTTTATAAAGTATCCGACAAGTATTTCAGTGCGGACCTGTATTTGATCATGCGGTGTTGGAGCACCGGCATGCCCTCCCCTGTGAGGTCTTAAGTCACCTGATTCACGAGCCCTTTGTACTACATTAACAAAGGCACGAGGGGTTGGTTGCACTCGATTGGGGAACCGATCCGCATAAATCCGTGATGCCGCTGCAGCATTTTGTCAAGACACCCTCCCCCCCGTAAATAAGAATCATGTCAACAAGTTCAGCATTTTCGTAACAATGTGCCATTTTTTATTTCGTTTGAGCCACGCAACAAACGCCACTATTCAGACACGCGTTACCGACTGACACATTGACTGAATACAACTGAATAAAATTGTAGTAAAAACATCGTGATAAGCGTTTCAAATTCTTTCGCTTTTTTGTTTCCGATGCGATGAACCGATAAGGCGGATTATATCCGTTGTCGCCAAACACGAGCACATAATATTATTATTGAGACAGGGTGGTACTCAAACTTCTAAAGGGCTATAACTTTGTTACTTTAATTTTACCAGAAAAATGTTAAAGGAAAAAAACATTTCTTTTGATCAGATCTACTCACTGTTAAAATAAATGACTCGATTTTGAAGTCGCCCTGTATATATACCTATCCAGCCAAATCAAGCACAAACGATAATGGAAAAAATAGCAAAGAAACTGATTACAAAACACAAGTGCTAAAATGTCAAAATGTACGTCAATCTTTCAAATCCCAGCACAAATCAACAAACGTTTAGCCCAGAACTAGCCTTTGTGGCAATATTGCCAATAAATGTATAAATTCTGGGAAATATCGCTATATTCCAAGCTTGCCAACATGACCAAAAGTCGGGGCTTATAAACCCAGAGTTAAGCATTGACGGTGCAAAGCTACTCGAATTTAACCTGGGGTTACCGCTAACTCCAAGTTAAGTAACCCTCACCTTAACCTAAAGCGATGCGATGCAAACCACCATATAAAAGACAACAGTAGTGTTCGGATGGAATTCAAGATGAGTGGCAGAAGGCAGAATTGTTTTATTAGAAATATTTCTAATTTATTCGAAATTATAACTTTTCATATATAAATAATACGTAAATATCTATATTTATACCAATTCTAATTAAAAATAGCTTTTACATATGAGAGCGAACTAACTGAACTATTACTTGTATACGCGTACAGTATTGGATATTTCACATCGCTGAATATCGACAGATTGCACACTCACCCTGTATATTAATGATTGCAGGAACTTTTGTCAGACGAATATTTCATAAAATAGCCAAATGACCGTACGGTATCGTATCGTAGTCTCATTCCTGTTAGATACATATCCCTGAGGATACGCAAGCCTCAGTAACATCTAATAACACATTGCTCATTCCTGCAAAGGTTCCAACTGCATATTTTTGTACCTTCCTGTACCTTAACTGTATTATGTGCACCGTTTGTTCCAAGATGGTGAAACTTAATGCGAAACAGGTTACAAGATACTAAATGCAAAAGTAGTCAACCAAAATTTTGTAGCAGTCTGCCACCCAATGTCGGAGGGAGAAAAATGTTACGAACGCGAAATATGTCTATATGTACAATGACAGAACATTGCAATGAACGATTTTCCGCCATGTATTTTGAGTGACGTTACCTCCAGTCTTTGGTCATATCCATAGACGCACTGTCTACTGAGATCGATGGCCGCTAAAGCTCCACTTCCAAACTGCATGGTGATGGCCACGGTGTCGACGTCGTTGATGTCCCGGATTTCAGGGATGTTGGAGCACGCTAAGGCACACACTTTGATAGGGTATTCCCCGAGGACGGATACGATTTGGTCGATGTCGTGGACGGCACAGTCGTGGAAGATCCCACCTGTTAAAGAGACAGTTGCTTTATGGTATATGAGAAAAAGCTAAGTATGTTGATTGTGAAAACATTCACGTCCTTGATAGGCTTATATCGGGTTGACTAGCTCGCTGGCTCATCACGTGAGTTCCTGGTCTCCGCTCATGACCCCTTTGTAGATGCTTATTTGAAAAAAGGCGGCAAGTACAGGGTTTGTCCGGAAAGTAATAGGGCTCATTTTCTTCCGCCTTGACTGTACAGGGCGTTCCTAGCTAACGAATGAGCGGCTGGTCAGTTGTCTCCGAGCACTTGGAGAGTCAGGACAGGCATTTTCACGCGACGTGTTTCTGTGAGTGGTGCAAGCCGAAAATGCAGCGTTCGTTAGAGCAGAGGTACGCGATTAAATTCTGTGTGAATCTCGGTAAATCTGCAACAGAGACGTTTGATACGATCAAGCAGGCTTACCCAGGTGTTTCTTTAACAAGAAGTGATGTGTTTTGGTCGCACCAGGCCTTTTTGGAGGGCCGGGAAGAGGTCACTGATGAGGACCGTGCTGTGCGCAAAGTTTTGAACTCAGACCGTCGACTAAGTATTCGTTTAATTTCCCAGATGTTAAATTTACCAAAATCTGTGGCTCATAAAATTGTGACACAGCATTTGAACATGCGTGAAGATGGTTCCAAAAGTGCTCACTGACGACCAGAAATTGCGGCGAGTATAAGTGTGCCAAGAAAATTTGAACATGTGTGAAAGTGACCCCCAATTTTTGAATAACGTAATCACAGGTGACGAGTCGAGGATCTTTGAGTATGATCCCGAGACAAAGAGGCAATCTTCCGAGTGGCACACGATGGCGTCTCCTCGACCACAAAAGGGAAGAATGAGCAAATCCAAAGTGAAAACGATGCTCATTGTCTTTTTTGACATCAAAGGCATCGTCCACCATGAATTTGTTCCTCCTGGACAAACCGTCGACGCCAAGTTTTACGTGGAAGTGCTCAGGAGACTCAAACGAGGGGTCAGTCGGGTCCGACAAGACATCGCAGCCGACTGGAAGTTGCATCATGACAACGCCCCGGCTCACACCGCCTTTCTTGTGACAGCTTCCTGACCAAGGCCGGCTTCCCAACGCTTCCGCAGCCGCTCTACAGCCCAGATGTGCCCCCCCCGGACTTTTTTTGTCTCCTCGCCTGAAAAGGCCGATGAAAGGCAAGCATTTTGAGACGACAGAGGGGATCCAAGCGACTCAGTCCTATTACTTTCCGGACAAACCCTGCATGTTGACTGCTGTCGTCGGTTCATAAAGGATTATGTTCGGCACAAGTTAGACCCTCTGACAGGAAAGTTGGCTACGAATATGTAAAGGAGTAATTATACGGATCAAGTCAGTCAAACAGACACATACAATTATTCTATAGACACCTTTTCCCTGCACCGTCGATAGTACCATCCATCTGGAAAGGTCGTCCCTCCCCACATACCTCACCGCTCGAGGGCAATGGCACTCATGGGGGAGACTGTGACGAAGGTCAACCCAAAGGAGAGAGACGCGTGTCGAAAATATCTCTATCATTCTCAGGGCAAATGCACGGGGAAATATATGATGTGACAATTATGTGTAATATGTGAGTAGGATTACCGGGGTTGGAAGCGTATAAACATGATACCTTCAAGACTCCTCCAGAAATTGTTCTGAAAATGATTAGAAATTAATTTTTTTTTTCGATTCTAGTCCTTAGCTCCACCGTTCCAGGACAGATTTACAAAAAGTAAAAAGTTTTTTCGTCTTTGGCATAACACTAACCTTGCATGAAAATTTCATTATTATTCCTCGCCAGTGACGTAGGAAGTAAAAATGTTGCCGACAATTGCAAGTTATCTTCGTAGGTTATGTTGCCAAACTACAAGGTTCATATGTCGAACTGTTTTGATGCTGTGTACCTTTTTGTATCATGTGTGTCAAGGATTGTAATTGAAACTGATTTAGTTGAACAACGAGACATAATCAAATGCTTGCAAAAAAGGCTATGGCACCCTCTGGAACTTATCAAAATATTGCGGTGTACGTTGGACAGTGTATAGATTCTTAAGATATAGTCGAACGCAAGTTATGTTGCTGTCTTTTAACCTTTATTGATTGATATAACAATTGCATTGTATTAATTTTTACTAGCTCATCACGTTTGGTTTATAATAACGATTTTATCTTAATTATGAGTAGGTCATTCAATTTTAGTCACAGGGAACACACACACTGTAATTCCGGTTCGGCCCATGTACACTATTGTTGGAACCATATAAACTTCTTTTAAAAACAGAGTTTGAAGTACCGACGACAAAATTGGCGCAGCCCGCAGTAGGATTCCGAAAGGGATTTTCGCCCTTGAGTCCTAACTATTATATTTGAGGTACTAGGCCAAAAACGAGATGAAGTACTGGACCTATCAGTAAGTGCTCATTGTATCCTTATTTCTTCATGACTGGCTCACCCCGACCTGTACATCCTTCTGAAGGTGATAGTGCAGATCAAATCGCTAATCGCATAGCAAGCTTAGAACTAGGAAGTGGAGAAATAAGACAAGCAAACGAAACTATAGAAAATATAATAATGACGACCCCTACTAGAAAAAGTGCCCCCCAGTTCAACATAAAACTACTCCAAATTGTCCCAGAATTTGATGGGAATCCCTGTAGACTGTATAGATATTTATAAATAAGCACAGATTTATTAAATAATTATTGACGATATACAGGATGTGTCCAAAATAAAATACTGCTGCATGAAATTTTCTCGCAATTGACTGATGCTGTAGAGCAAGTATTTTCTCTTAGCGGTTCTACAAACCGAAACAGCATCAAAAATTTGCTAATTGCTCATTTTGGTGATCAAAGAAACGAGAGTACTCTTATCTCAGATATGACAAAATTCTGATGAATGTTTTTTACAGTTTTTTTCTAGAGTTGTAAACATGCTCAATCATTTATATAAATATAATAGTTGATGCTATTAAAACTAGTAAAGACGCACTGTATGATAGTCATGCATTGCATACACTCTTAGTAGGTTTAAAGGAGCCACACAGTTCCATGATTCGGTCTATGAAACCTAAAAATTTGGCAGAAGCTCAAGCTTATATTTTAGAAGATAATAACGTTAGATATTTACAAACGGCTGGTGCACATTCAAATTTCAATAAGCCACCTCAGCCTGCCCTTCCATCGAAACCACATTTTCAAAATTTGTTCAAGCCTGGAATGCAGCCTACGAATCAATTTAGGCATCAGCAAGATTCCAATTATCAGCCTCAATTCTCAAGAGGACCAGTTCCGATCCAACCTAGACAAAATCCTCTTCCACAAAGATTTCCAACAAATGCACAAGTTTTTGGTAATAGACCTGATGTTTGTTTGGCGTAATCCGCGTAATAAAGGACCAAACAGAAAATAATAAATAAAATTTAGGATTCATTCCAGATACACCTTTGACAAAACGAGGCTTGATAAATGGTTCAGATTCAATTATTAAAATAATTTCAGGGAACCTAAATGATGACGATGCTAAAAAATATGACCAGACTATTGAACAATTACAGAAAAATCAGAATCAAGTAATTGAAACAGTTAATCAGCAAATTTCCTCGACCCACGACGTTCTCAAAAACAAAAATAAGCCATTTAGCCTTATGGTTCACAATCAAGCTGTAATAGAACAAACTTTGATATAGACACAAAGGAACAATACATACTATTTTACTATTTTGGATACACTCTTACAAATAAAGCTCAATTTAGATACACTGCACTCCATAATTAATAATTTGGAAAATGCCATCGCATTTGCCAAAATTGGGTCATTGGACCACAGTATTATTTCGATAGATGAATTAAAATCAATATTTCAAATATTAGTCAAAAATCATAATAAAGCTCAGTTGGTGTATTCAGATATCAAAGATATTTATAAACTTTACGACATAATTTGAGTAGAAGCATATTTTTCCCAAAATCGACTAGTTTTTGCCTTACACGTTCCACTTTTGCACGTAGCCAAATTTAAGCATTATTATCTTTATTCCATTCCTACTGTTAACTAAACTACTATTATTCCCAAAAATTCCTATTTCACAGTGAGTACCAAAATGTACCAATATGATGCTGAACTATGTGAAATGATAGAAGATATGTTTATCTGCCACGTAACTTGGCCCATGTAACAGAAGAAGAACACGATTGTCTATTTGCTATTTTACAAGTGAACAGAAAGCAGTCAAATTGTAACAAAATTCCCGTAACTCTTAAAACGGCCTTAATTGAAGAAGTTTCAGAGTCCAAATATATTGCTATTTTTCCGAAACCTGAAAAGCTGATAATCAAATGTGAACAAGATGACGTCACAGAGTTATAGGGCATTTACCTACTTGAAGTGCCCCACCAGTGCAGTATCCAAACGAAGCACTATACTTACTAGAATTCCGAAAAGCCGGTGTTGCTTCCAGAAGTCCAAATTTCACCAAAAACAGAAAATCCAAGTACATATTTACTTAGATACACTACATCACTTGCAAGAACGAGCCGCCCAAATCCAGGCGGATCTTTCCGAAACAGTAAAACACCCCTGCAAATGAAGCCTACTTCTGTATGCATTTATGTTAATTGGAATTGCATGCATTTGCGTGAAAAGGTATTACCAGAGATGAAAAGGATCAAAAAGAATCCAGCACTTAGAAGGAATCGAAATTCAACCCCAGAGGTACGAAGTTTTGTTTGTGCGCTTCAAAACTTCATTTTAAGGGTATAGGAAGTTATGATGATGTCTTTTAACACTTTATTAATTCATATAATAATTGCATTGTATTCTTTTTTATTAGCTCATCACCTTTGGTTTATATTTACGATTTTATCTTAATTATGAGTCGTTCAATCTCAGTCATAGCAAACACACGCACTGTAATTTTGGTTCGGTCCAAGTGCACTATTGTTGGAACCAAATAAAGTTTCTCAAAAACGGAGTTTGAAGTTTCGTCTACATAATTCGCAGATGTCGCGATTTTCAGAATGGAAAGAAATCCTGTAAAAACCAAGATAGCGGTTGGTCTACTGTAACGGTATCGACTGACCAAAACTTGTCCAAGTGCATGATATGGTGTTACAAGATGAAAGTTTGGGGAGGCTAACAAGTTACGTACTGTCTTTTTGAGATAATGCTCCCAGAGGATTTTTCAGAACTACTAAGGAATCGCCAAGTACTTCATTACCACATTATACAATGGCATTGGTGAATATTATCATTGTCAAGATAAGTCAAACCCATTGTGAGTAATAAACATATATTCAAGAAAACATTACAGTTCATTAAAAAGTAGATCAAACAGAGGTAGGGCCCTGAACGTCTAATGGTCAATGTCGGATAAGAGAAATGTCACACTTAACTCATAAATTGCCTCACTGAACCTCGCTATCGACATTTTTCGTTCGACACAATCTCGCTAGGCTAAGACCATGCGATAATGAATGACGCGTTCGACATTATTTCATAGTTAGACAACACGGCAAATTTCAAAATAAGTGTTTGAATTGCTAGAAATTACGTACATTTTTCGTTATTGACCACCTTTTACCAACACCCCTCTTAAAATCAAATGACTTGACAAAAGTGACAGTATAGTGACCAATTAAAAGAATCACAAAAAAAATTTCCAGTATCGCAAGCGAGAATATGTCTCATGAGAGATTCTAGAAGAACAACCCTGACTGATGAAAAAAAGCAACAGACTTTCTAAACACCGAGAATTTGATGGATGACTGGGTTTGTCATTTCGAGCAGGGAAAGCCAGCTATACATCAAGCAACCCTCTACAGTCTTTTCCATTTATTATCCCGATATATTTAAGTTAGGTATTGATAAACGGCATTTTTCAATTCTCAGTTGGGGGGTCTGTATATTTATTTCTATATTAGGGAACATGCCGTATGACCCTTATTCGATTTGCCGGATTGATTATAAAGGAGTCGAGTGGATTATGTAATACCTATTAACTTTGGAAGATTTGTTTTGTACAGTTATGTGCTGCCCAGAAAAGTATTGTCACTAATGTTCTTTTCTTTCCGCAGTTCATATGAAATACATTTCGCTTTTTTACGTCTCGTTTACTCAAAAGCTCACAAAACTTACTTCTCCTTAGTTTACCACTATAAACCGCCTTATACACCCTAGCAACATGTGAAGATCACTTTCTATAAAAATCTCTGAAGTTCTACAAACACCGCGAAACATATCGAAAGATCTAGAAACAAAACTAACCTATCTGACAACTAACGGACAACATACAAAACCTACAATTCGACAACATATTTAAGACAGAATCCGAACTGTAGCCTAACGCATTATACATAGTGCTACAATATTTAGTTCTCCTTGTTTCTTTATGGATGGGCAACTGGCTGCAGCGTTAGCAGCATACGTTCTACTAATTTCCTAAACAAGTTTAATGGCAAAAAATCGAAAACGTCATGGGCAAAATTCACTTTAGTGACGTCACGAGCAGCAATGACCTCAACAGTATGTGGAGAAGCGACTCCGGCAACCAAATAGAGTAGAATACGATTAGTTAGAATTATATTCACTGCACAACCATTGCCGGTCAACTACTAAACCTACCTTAATCTCATTGATTTGGTTACAAGTTTCCCCAACAAATGGGGCAAGGCGCCCACTACCTCACTAATCAAAGGACGCTTACCTGCATATGAGTTTATTATTCAGTTTTCTAATTAAATCCTAAATTTAGGAAATAGAATGTCATAGTCCAGTGAAAATGGTATTACGTCCAAACAAAGCTCAGGGAGAAAGCTTGTAATCACTTTTATCGTTTAACTATACGTAGATACTTATTGTAGTTGTTTATTAAGCTTATTCAGTCGATACCTTGTATATAAAAATTCTTTCATGGATGTAGTAGAAATGTCCTTCGTAACTTATATTAATTTATGATGTTATAATAGTTGTTTATGAGATGAGTAATTGACAAATATAGATACCAATATGTAGGAAACAGTTGGTATTTTGCATGTATGAACCTTGTGTTAAGAATTCTGATGAATAAATAGTTTCTGTCGTAACTGAAAATTCGGTTTGGAAACTGAGTATGGTCTACATGTAGGCAGATTTAGTTGTTATGTGTGGTGGTGTAGCCTGCGGTTGGAGAGAAACTTGTCTCTGATTGTCACGCTATGCTCCTGCTATATAATTCTTATGATTATATATTTAGTTTATATCATAACATTACTCACCAGAAATAGACAAATATTCTAGAGAAGGTAGAGGAGAATCTCTTGAGCATACTTTAACAGTCAAAACTTTCCCTACTTCTCCTTCCCTCACTCGATCCCTGACGGACTTGTACGAAGCATCAAATCTCCTGAAAATGCCAATAAGGTATTAAATTTATCACCAGCCTCAAATAATTTATCATGTCGCGATGGAAAGTTCTATGATTCCCCTAAGCATTAGGCCGAGCACATTCTACATACCTACATATGTTTTCGAGTGAAATTGCGTCTAATACATCCGGATATATTATAAAAGCATTGAAAGTACAATCAACCTTAAAAAGTAATTACATATCTAATAAATGGCGTAAAGTAGGTTGACTCAGCACTTCCCACACAACGTTGTCATGAAAAATCAAGTGCAGCACAAGTTAGTCTGTTTGAGTTAGCTACAAACACGTATAATATAAAAAAATCATAACAGGTCAGCCAAATAGGCCCATATAATCAGTCCATACTGGATAGTCCCCACCCTATTTGATAACGCTAATGCTTCTCCCCTGCTCTATGTATCGACCATCTGGCAACGGTGCTAAACCACACCAGTCAACCAGGCTACCAGCGCCAGCCGCGATACTGTAACTCCGGCAATGCAATCACAGTCAGTCAGACGCAGGCAGTGCTTAGTGAAGAAGCGATACGCCGTTCCGACTGACGGCGTGTCGCATCTATAAGTACTTTATATCAGGTGAAATACGTATTAACAGGTTAATTAAATTACCAGAACTGGAAGCGCCAAAATAATTGAGATATATCATTTTTCACCTCCTACAGCCCTTAACTCTCAACCTTTGCAAAAAATGTTTCCGGAAATGATCAGGAGCCTCTGGAACGTTAAAAAACAAAGTGTGAGCGATTTCAATTTTCCCTTTCGTGTTTTTGCCCCTAGTCTCTCCGCCTCCAGACCGGTTTTTAAAAACTACAAAGTTTCTTCGCCACTGGTATAGTAGGAGTCTCGTGTGGAAGTTTCATCAAAATCCGAGCAGTGTTTCTCAAGCTTTAAACGAGATAAGGATTAGCGAACAGACAGACGGAAATGATGTACATGTCAAGAACATGATATCTTATTTTAGAAATCTTTTGCTATTACAATACTTGCTCGCCCTGAGAAGTAGAAGGTCAAGTATGTTGACTCTGCAATTGCCACCTACCTTGTCATCAGTTCTTGAAATATTATATTTGGCACAAGTTAGTCCCTCTTAGAAAAAACTAACATCTATAACACAGGCGCTAAAGGGATCAGATCGGTCAAGTAGGCTCAATTAGTCGCAAGTTCCCACCTATTTGATAACGTTGCGATCGAGAAATTTCTCCTTTGTCCTACCAACGATTAAACAACGTTGCAATCACAGATGCGCTAGGTAAACCTCGCTAACGGCAACGGCCAGCTCCCAAACGATTTATTCTATCTTTATTGTGCTTGTGCATTCTGTCAAGTTTTAGCAGCAAATGTCGTGAGTACTAAAGAAATTGAAGATAAAAATACAAAAATGTATTCCATTTCATACTACTATTCTGTTTTTAATTACTATTCTTACTATTTCCGCTTAGCTTACCTGTTGAAAGCGCTGAGTAGAGGTACTTTAGCTTTTCGGGCTAGCTCATAGAGGTTTGCAGCTTTTTCAATGGTCTCAGCTATGGGTTTTTCACAAAAAACTGCCTTTTTGTGAGCAATCGCTTGCTTCACTATGTTTTCGTGGGTGAATGTTGGTGATGCACAAACGATGAAGTTCACTCTAAAAAAAAAGAAGAAATGCACGTAAAATAATTTGGTTCTGATAGGGAAAAAGTCGTTATAGCCACTCTTAGGCAGAAAAGCACGATGCTATTGACCTATTTTGCCCGAAGTGTGGAATTCTCCAGAATGGGGTATCCTCACACAGTCCTTCAGTACACATCCCACCATAGAAATGCTTACAGCATTCCAGCCTGGTGGGTAGCGTTGCATTAAATGCTTATACCAAAGTCGTGCTACTGATATCGTCGAAGATATACATTCGTATTTATGTATGTACAAGCTAGTAGGTAGAAACAGGTTACTGGCTCCTCAGCCAATTTTTGTCATGCTGTAGCCTTCTCAGCATCATTTGCCTCACTATTGCCTCAATGTTAACAAACTTGTCTTTGCATACATGCTTGACAAAGTTGTCAGCATTGACGCTCCAGTCGAGAGTCAATTCTAGTTGACTCTGGCGGTCAACTCATCTACTATACTCGAGCAGAAATACCATTCACCCCGGTGCAGTATACACAGATAGCGTACTCCCTCTTTCCTACCACCTTTAGGTAGCTATCCTTAAGAGAAAATATAATCTATCCGTACCGTTCCCTTGAAAATCTAGGTTTTCTTATCAGGAATATTCTAGTCCATGCGCCATGATCAGTTACATGCCATCTCTACTGACATCTAACAAACAGCGCCCCTCTTTCGCTGTCTTTGGCTCCAACGTCCTCCGTAAGAACGCATATCTTCCCTCAGCCAGCAAATCAATCGGCGTGATACCAGCCACCACCTGCAGTGCATCTGTAGTTACCATTCTATAAGCGCAGACCATGCGCTGTACGATCTCTCCTGGACTCTGAGCGGTAGTTGCCTATTTCTTCTTCCTCAAAGCCTTGCGATGGATAGGGACTCCATCTAACATAATTGAGTTATCCAACACCATGGTTTACACAAGAGGTTAAAGAAAAATATGACCCAAAAAAAGAAAGCTTCCCTAAAATATAAGTCAAATAAAACCAATGAATCATATGAAGAATATAAAATAATAAGAACTGAAATTCATCAATTGGTAAGAAACAAAAACAGATTACTGGGAAAGATTCACAAAAGGACTAGAGATGGATTTTTACGGACAACAGAAACAAGTATGGCACTTCATAAGGCAACAAAGAAGCGAAATGAAAGAACTAGTTGAAATAGCACACATAAAATGGGATACATGGGTGGCCTTCTTGACAGAAACATTTAAAAAAGAAAACGAATAATCTTTACCAGAAACGCCAAATATAATAACTGATCAAAAGACTGAAATCTCCCAAGAAGATGTGAAACAAGGAATAAATAAATTGAAAAATAGAAAGTCACCAGGAGAAGATCAAATACCAAATGAACTCTTAAAATATGGAGGTGATTACCTTGTACAATAACTCCTTATTCAAAAAATAATCACCACGATCAGAATACCACATGAATGGAGGAGAGCGATCATGCTGATGTTCTTCAAGAAATGAGATAAGGAAGACCCCTATAATTATCGAGCAATAAATCTGTTAAATACAACACTCAAATTGACAACAAGAATAATAGCGATAAAAATAAACGAACGAATAACTCTGCAAGAGGAACAGCAAGGATTCCGGATAGGAAGATCATGCACGGCTGCAGTTTTTGTAATCAGACAAATAAAAGAAAGGTCGCTGGAATATAACAAACCAGCATATATGTGCCTGATAGATTTGAAGAAAGCGTTTGATAGAGTGAGAATTCGGGACGCGATACATTTACTATTTGACAGGGGAATACCACTGGATTTAGTAAAAACTATTGAGAATATATATAAAGATAACATAGCTATGGTAAGATGTAAAGGAAGACTCTCGCAACCTATCAAGTATGAAACTGGCATTAGACAACGAGTTTCGCTGAGCCCACTAATATTTAATCTGATAATGGATGAAATCATAAAGAAAGTTAAAAAAGAAGAGGATATAGAATGGGAGAAAAGGAAATGCAGTTAATATGCTATGCCGACGACGGCATAATAATACCCGAAAATGAAGATGACCTACAAAGATTAATTAAAGAATTCGAAGATGGTGATTTTAACAGAGAAAACTAAATCGATAGTGATATCAGCGGAACCAAGACGATGTAAACCGGTCGTACATAACAAAATAACAGAACAAGAGTGATGGAAACGGAACACTTGGGAATCAAACTGTCAATCTATGGAAACGTAGAAGAAGTACAAAAACAAGTGAACATGGCGAACGGAGCAGCAGCATGTCTCAACAATACAATCTGGAGAAACAAATACCTCACAACGGAAATGAAAACTAGGATACATAAATCAACAATAAGACCGATAATGACGTACACAGCGGAAACAAGAGCAGATACGGCGAAAACACAAAGATTATTGGAAACAGCAGAAATGAAAGTCTCACGAAAAATAACAAACCAAACTCTAAGAGACAGAGTAAAAAGTGAGGAAATACGAGCGAGATGTGGTATAGAGGAAATAAACCCGTGGACCAAAAGAAGAAAAATAGAAAGGAATCAACACATAGAAAGAATTACAGAAAATAGAACAGAACGAATAGCAAGAAACAAATCGCCAAATGGAAGAAGATCAATGGGACGACCGAAGAAAAGATGGTCAGATAACATCAATTGAGGCTAAAAACCGAAGTAAGGCAGGCATGAACCTATTAATATAGTTGTAAGAAGAAGAAGAACAAGAGTTATCCAACCTCAGCCAGGATCGTATGCCTCTCACTAGGGCCTTTCTGAGATTGCATTAGTCGAATCAGGGGAGCAACGACTTCATTTACCTTATCAGGATGCACCTTATACGTTCAGTCATGTTGAGATATTTTTTTAGCTGCTCTAGCTATTTATTCGCATTTTTGCTTCGGACCTTGGCATTCCTAACCCTAAAAACTAATAGAGTTGGCTTCTGTCCGCGAGAAAGTATGACAGCTTCCTCCTTCTCATGAGCTAATTCAAAACCTGGCAAGAGAAAAGCTGCCATAGTTTCTGGCAGATAGAAGCTAACTTCATTAGTTGTTAAGGTTAGGAGTTCCTATATTCAAAGTAGAAGTGCGATTAAGTATCTAGGGGTGTGGCGTATGAAATAGTGACGTGTATAGCTTCAGCGTTTTCCAGCTATAGTTAAAATGAAACAATTCTAAAAATGATCAGTGTACCAAAGGCGGAATTAAATCAAAACCATATAAATAGCCAATTTGCCAGTTACTCTGGATTTTTGTACTAAAAGCACTACTCTTTCAAGACATTGTAACTATTGTCTGTTCATCCAGAAGAAGAATGTATTAGTGACACTTACTTGAGGTCTTTGAATGCCTGGTCTTGCTGCTTTGAGGTGATGCAGACTGTGTTTTTCAAGTTCCAGTAAACCTTTAGCCTTTGTAGTTTTTCTGTATCATCATCCACAATATAGAGAATGTTAGCCCTCCTGTTTCCAACGAGATTGGTTAGATGGATAGTACCTACGAAATAAAAGATACATAATATTTTTTCCCTAATACGGGCTTGAACAAGCAATTTCTAAAATCTTTGGTTAAAGATATCAGATTGAACATTATTTTCTTGTACATGACTTTTTCTTATTGACATTGTATTTTGCACTGTAGTAAGTGATGATAATTTGACCACATCGTTATTACATACCTGCTCTGCCTATCCCAAAGATTGCAACCCCCAGCTCAACGTGAGAATGTTTTTGGTTGCAAGCCAAATCTTCCAAATGTCTACAAGAAGAATACAATCAATTATAAGAACTGCTTTCTCAGTATATACTAGAAACTATCAGTTACTGATTGTGAAAGTTTTTGCCTGTAATAAATAATAGCCCATATTGCTTAACACAGTTTTTTCTTTTCACGGGAACCATTGAGCCTTATTCTACACCTTGGTTTCTTTCGTAAGCGATATTAGTTTCAGATATCATGGAATTCTGGTTATCAGCAAGATGATTGGTTTTTACACGTTTTTGGATATTTTGACCAGGATCATTGATAAAAACGATCGCCTTCTCTTGGGGATAACAATATGATAACTTCTGAAAGATTCAATTTTTAAGAACGAGCTATTAGCTTAGCTATCTATATCTGCTGTTGAAAATAGTATATGGCTTTGCTAACGATATACAGGGTGTCTCAGAAGTCGACGTCAAGCCGAAACCGGGTGATAGGCAAAGTCATAACAGCTATCAGAAAAATATTTAAAAAAATTTTATGTATGTGTTTTGAAACTTATAGGTCTTTGAAAGAAATATAGAAATTTCATACCCTACGGCAGTCTGCCAACTCCTGTTACTACAAATATTAACTTTTTTTGGATTTTATTTTTACAATGTAATGATAAATAATGCATCTTCAAACTGGTGTCTCAACCTTACTGCCAACTTTTCTCGTTCAGGAAAAATTGCCACTTATTTCCCAACCAAGTATTCCAAAGTAAAACTTTGCTCAACTTTAACTGGCTGTACTGGAAAAAATGTACTACGAGAGTTTGGCAAGTAACCTTAAAAGTTGGCGCATTTAATAAGGATTCCAAAATGGTATAACACTTAGAAGATTACTCGTTAACTTATGCACAATTTTTATTTGAAGAAAAACTGATGAAAATTTTTCAAAATTTCCTATTTAAACAGCGATTATGAAAACGCACAAGGACCCTTAAGGATAACTGTTTGCACAACAGTGGGCGTCAAAATGCTGCTGATGATGATTTACCTTTACAGCAAATGCTCAAACTGTTTTCCTTCAGCCGCAATACACGCTCGACATCTTCTTAAAAAAGATCGTTTCATTAAACGAGCGAATCCACGGTTATTAACAAACTCAGCTGCTTCCAATAGTCTTTGCCGTAGCTCAGCTACATTTTGAATCGGCTTGAAATACACTTTTTCTTTTACAGTTCCTCAGTAAAAAAAATCTAACGGATTCAAATCTGGTGACCGGGCTGGCCACGGTATTGTACCAGACCGCCCTATCCATCTGCCTGGAAAGTTTTGATCGAGATACTCTCTCACTGAGAGTGCATAGTACGCTGGGAAGCCATCATGCTGAAACCACATGTCCCTGTAAATACTCAGTGGCACGTCCTCCAATAAATTTTCTAAATGATTTTGCAAAAAACCTAAATAAAGCTCAGCACTCAAAGTCTCTGGGAACTCAAACGGACCGATTATTTTACCATTTAAAATTCCTGTCCCATGGTTTATCTTGAAGCGATATTGAGATTTATCTTCTCTCATCAAATGTGGGTTTGCTACGTGCCGCTCGTGTAAGTTATGCAGGTTCATGTACCCATCTTTCTTAAATGTGGTCTCATCTGACCATACATTTTTTTCAAAGAACCGTGGATCTTCCCTGTGTCTTTCTAACATTGTGCGACAAAAAGCAACTCGGGGCTCATAATCCCGGGGCAGAAGAGCTTGAACACGCTGTACGTGGTATGGATGGAGCACGTTTTTTTGCAAGATTCTATGGACTGTACTTTTGGGCACACCTGTTTTTAGTTCTATTGCACGCATTGAAGTACTCGGGTCTTCTTCGACAGCTCCTAGCACCACGTCTTCGTAAGGAAGGAAAGATCTTCCCTCACCATGTGATTGGTTTGGTAGTTGGCCATCCGAGAACAGTAAGCGGTGCACATTTGTGAACACTCGATGATCTGGATGACGAGCTGCATTCGGGTACCTCTCACAGTAAAGTCTGGCTGCAGCACTAGCGTTGCATCTGCATTCCCCATAAATGAGGTGCATGTTAGCATATTCTTGTACGGTGTACATGGACATAGCGGCACTGCACAATCACACTATCAAAGATAGTCTAAGGAAAGCAAATGTTGTTTTGAAGAGCAGTTAAACAGTCCAAATCCAAATCACAAGCGATCAACAGTCCAGTTCACGAATCCAAAATTAGTAACAGTACGAAATCAACAAGCACGAACATGTAAAGATGCGCAGTAAACGAAGGAGTACTGATCGGTATCAAAGTGTGCAATAGCAAGTAAGTGATGTGCTTCATCCATACCACATATAGCGTGTTCAACCTCTCCTGCCCCGGGATTATGAGGCCCGAGTTGCTTTTTGTCGCACAATGTTAGAAAGACACAGGAAAGATCCACAGTTCTTTGAAAAAATTTTATGGTCGGATGAGACCACATTTAAGAAAGATGGGTACATGAACCTGCATAACTTACACGAGTGGCACGTAGCAAACCCACATTTGATGAGAGAAGATAAATCTCAATATCGCTTCAAGATAAACCATTGGACAGGAATTTTAAATGGTAAAATAATCGGTCCGTTTGAGTTCCCAGAGACTTTGACTGCTGAAGCTTATTTGGATCATGTACAAAATTTATTGGTGGACGTGCCACTGAGTATTTACAGGGACATGTGGTTTCAGCATGATGGCTGCCCAGCGTACTATGCACTCTCAGTGAGAGAGTATCTCGATCAAAACTTTCCAGGCAGATGGATAAGGCGGTCTGGTACAATACCGTGGCCAGCCCGATCACCTGATTTGAATCCTTTACATTTTTTTACTGGGGAACTGTAAAAGAAAAAGTGTATTTCAAGCCGATTCAAAATGTAGCTGAGCTACGGCAAAGACTATTGGAAGCAGCTGAGTTTGTTAATAACCGTGGATTCGCTCGTTTAATAACCCGATCTTTTTTAAGATGTCGAGCGTGTATTGCGGCTGAAGGAAAACAGTTTGAGCATTTGCTGTAAAGGTAAATCATCATCAGCAGCATTTTGACGCCCACTGTCGTGCAAACAGTTATCCTTAAGGGTCCTTGTGCGTTTTCATAATCGCTGTTTAATTAGGAAATTTTGAAAAATATTCATCAGTTTCTTTTCAAATAAGTTAGCGAGTAATCTTCTAAGTGTTATACCATTTTGGAATCGTTATTAAATGCGCCAACTTTTAAGGTTACTTGCCAAACTCTCGTAGTACATTTTTTTCCAGTACAGCCAGTTAAAGTTGAGCAAAGTTTTACTTTGGAATACTTGGTTGGGAAATAAGAGGCAGTAAGCTTGAGACACCAGTTTGAAGATGCATTATTCATCATTACATTGTAAAAATAAAATCCAAAAAAGCTAATATTTGTAGTAACAGGAGTTGACAGACTGCCGTAGGGTATGAAATTTCTATATCTTTTTCAAGGACCTATAATTTTCAAAACACATACATAAAATTTTTTTAAATATTTTTCTGTTAGCTGTTATGACTTTGCCTATCACCCGGTTTCGGCTTGACGTCGACTTCTGGGACAACCTGTATCTATAAAAAGTTCGATGTTAAGTGAAGTGAACGTGAAAGTTGAACTATTAGGTACTATCACTATTGAAATAATTTCAGTTCCTGTAAAAAAATAAGGTGGGCTCCTATCTCATCAAATCAGCATTGTTAATGATAAACATTGTTTTCTGATTACATAACACGGTAACGTCGCAAACAGATAATTCTTACCACTGATGTATATTACCTTTTGTTTAGATCTTACAAAGAATATATGACCATGAGTTTAGCAATGACACTGCTTCTTTAAAATCTTGATATATATAAGATTCTGAATAATTGCTATGAAATTTTAAATATAAATGGTTCGTATTAAATAACTGTAATAAGTATAATAATAATAATAAAACGTCTTTACTGGGCGAAGTTTAGCATAAGCTATTCTACCACTTAACCCGTAAAATGTCAATCCAAAAAAACATATACCAAACACTAAAATGCAGAGTTTCAACATAAGAAAATAAATTAATTGAGTAAAACACAGGTAAAACAAGATTGGATAAAAGTATAATATTATACATACATATTGATGCATATATTATAAGCAGAAGTAAGAGATAAATGTATGTCAATGATTGCTCGAAAATTATTTTTCTTAAATAATTTTTGAAATTTTTTAAATTTAAAGCTTTAGTTTCATAATGCTTGTTGCGAAATGATTCAAGATCATCAGAAAAACATACCTAATATAGACAACATCTTCTTTCGGAGGCTGACACCTTGGCCTAGTATAAGGAGAAGGCATTACATACTTCTTGGTAGCCATTGCTGTGTAGAAAAGTTGAATTGGAAAGAAAATTAAAACGTCAAGTGTGCAGCAAAGACTACTGAACTTGACAAGGGCTGCGTTTGAACTGAACTGTAATGAATGGTGAATGAATTTAGTTAATCATGGCGCTTATCTCAAATGCGTTTCACAGCAATTAAATGCCAAGATTATTAACAGACTTGAGGTCAAGGGCATTACATAATAAAATATAAAGTCATCAATATGGAGATAACTCGTGGAAGCTTACACATCTTTTCGAAAAATAGGAAATTTCCTCTCTGTTTCGTTAGTTTTTCATGATAGGAAACAAATAAATACAAAAGTACACATTCTCAGGAGAAAGAGTGAATGAAGAATGAAGAAGAGAGACAAGTAGAGGAAGGAAAGAATGAAATTTAAAAAAAGGAAAAGAGAAGAAGTGAAAAAATAAAGACGAACAAAGAGGATGAAAGGAAGAAGAGATGATATAGGGAAAAAAGGAAAAGAGAAGTCAGTTGAGACACCTTATTTCAGTTTATCGTGAAAAAACTCAAGCGTCTTGGTTGGTACGCTGAACCATGAAACCAACGTTAACAAGATGCCTTGATAAAAAGTATATTTTGACGCATAAGGCCTTTCTGTAATATTTGTTTTTATTTTACGAAAAAAATGTGTGAGGGATCTTTTGGGATGACGCTGACGCTACTTGATTGAAACGCGTTGACTTTTATAGGATTCCCTATAATTAGTCTATTAGCAATGTTTGATTGATTCCGTAACCGCAGACCAATATGATAGGTATATCCAAAAAGTAATCTTATGGGTTATAACACTTATAAATAGGAATTAAGCATCAAGACAAGAGGTATTAAATAAAAATTCAACATTCCTCTTTTAGTATAACCTGTTAGATAGAAAAAAGGAATGAAGAAAGGGAAAGAACAAAAGTTATTTAAGAGTTGAGAAAATAAGAAGTAAATAATGAGTGAAAAAGACATAAATAGAAGACAAAATCAAAGAAAAAGAAATCGGTTGCATTTATACATCCACGAGTACTGGTTTTTTATTTCTGGAAGAAATTTACCTAAATTTCGCGTGTTGGAAAAAAAGTTGCTGATTTGTTTGGAGCTGCTAATCCCAACACTGTGTAGAAAGTGCAGATAGGTCGTTGAGTGGACAACTACTATGATCCCATTTTCCACAATAGGAAGATTTGGTATTTGTTTTTGCTTGCATTTCACAAGGTAACTCCGGTTATTTTTTTTCATCAGTTATTGAACAGTTGGCTATAATATATATGCATCAGCTGGAGTAGCATCACTATCACTGTTCGTCGCTTTGAAGTTTTTGTTTCGAAAAATTTAAAATTCTATTAATTGAAAAAACAACACTGATGGAACTCTTATTTGTTTCTCAGCATTTCATTCATGCATTTTTCATGAATTGATGAAATTTTAACGTTATACCAGCATCGCTTGCTCTTTTGAGCTCTTTATAATCATACTCTGATATTACGAGCCGGTCAAACGGACATGCTAGGCTGCTGCAAAGACACTGCTATATCTACTTCTTTGTTTCTGAGAAAATGTGATACATCTTTACTATCTATTTTATTATAGTCATCGGCGTTACGGAAGGACATGTACCTTAACATTGGGATCTCACCCGGACAGTAGTGAGGTAATGTTGATTTATTCAATTTCACTTCTTGATTCATTGGTCGCTCAGTCCCAATATAAGAATTGTTCACAGAACTGTCCACCTAACAACAAAAACATTGTAAAATGCAAAACATTGGAGACAAACCAAAATTTATAGAAAAAGGGCAATCGAAACAAAACTAGAATTTAACTTCATCTACCTTAATCTTGAATCTGCAAGTTTTTAAGAAAGCTACTTTTGCGCTGTAATTAGTAATTTGAATGCAGGAGATACTATGGAGGAAGCTCAGTATGCTCAAAAAAACTGTGAATACGAAATTGATCAAAATACTTTCAAACCTTTTTATCGGATAAATAGTATAATAGTAGAAATTTACATACTTAATTTTAGCCCAGAATCTGCTCGGATCACCACAAGTACTTAGAGAAACCACAAGGAGTCCCACGATTTTCAAAATTAGGTAGTCCCTCATTTTTGTTGTCTGATTACGCAGAATTATTCATACGCAGTACCGTAAATATACATTTACTTTCGTTTATCGGCCTTATTTAATTTATCCTTGTTTATCAACAATAACTAAGCGATTCACGTAACAACACAGATAGTATGTCAGCCTTGCTCTGGGTGAGTATATCCAGTGCGAATAGCTACTTGAATATCCTTTCCAGAGAGAAAAATCTACGCCGATGTATGCGTTTGTCAATGGCAGTCAAATTAGCCAAAAGGGCCGTATCGTCAGCTGTTCCTACAATTGTAGGACGCCTTTCTGGCCTACTTGATTTTCGTAGTCTTCCAACCTTCAGAAAGGCTGGGATATTTATCGATTTCTACTGTTCCGTGTCAGCGTCAGCGCTCCCGTATTGTCAGACTATGTTTTCTTGGATTGAAGGACATTTCAGGCTATGGAGCAGATGATATAAATCAAAAGAATGAACAATTTGATGCAAATAGATATTTGTGTCAGGCATGGCTTCGAGAAGGCCGTACGCAAAGAGCAAGGGGCACTGGACGCCGCCGTAGAACAACAGACCGTGAAGATCGCCGCCTAAGATTATTAGCCTTAAGGGACCGTTTCTTCACTACCAGGTCCATTGCAAATGAATGGTTTGCAGAACACGGAAGACCTATTGGCATGCGAAGTGTTTACCGACGAATGAGAAGTTTTGGCTTGTTTTCATACCGGCGACACTGGGTCCTCCCTTTAACTCGAGAACACCGACGTAATCGCCTTGAGTGGTGCAGACAACGGTCACTCTGGGATCAGGAATGGAAAAGTATTGTCTTTAGTGACGAGTCTCGATTTTGTTTAGGCATGGAGGAATCCACAGTTTTTTGTTGAAAGACATGTTCATCACACTGTTGGAGTTATGGTTTGGGGTGCTATAGCTTATGGTTCCAGGTCACCTCTAATCTTCATCAGAGGTAACATGAACGCGCAGCGTTATATCCACGAAGTTCTAGAACCCCATCTTTTACCCTATCTTGACACCCTGGCAGATCCAACTTTCCAACAAGATAATGCCCGACCACATGTTGCAAGAGTCACAATAGACTTCTTTCAATATAATGATGTCACATTGTTACCATGGCCACCAAGATCTCCCGACTTATCCCCAATTGAGCACGTGTGGGATATGATGGGTAGGAGATTGCTCATTTTGCAACGTCCTCCTCAGACTCTAGAAGCACTTCGAGAGGAGTTGGTGGTTGCCTGGAATGAGATACCACAGGAGGACATTGACCACCTGATCAGAAGCATGCCGAGGGGCGTTGGAGAATGCGTAGCACATCAGGGTGCATCCACACATTATTAAAGGTCAAAGGGCTTTAAAGCAGTGCAATTATTTTGAAGTTTTTATCATTTACTTATTATGCTTCATTAAGTACTTATACAAAATTTTATTAAAATAAAACCATTTAAACTGGGTGTTCGGATTTATATGTCACTTAGTATACGTATATATGGTGGTCCCAGAAGTACCCGGCCTGACCTAGAGATGGCGATAGTTGTTTGAAAAATATCATCGTATTAGAAAGTATGAAACCTATAAAGCATGTGTGTAAAGTTTGAAGACGAAACGTTGTTTAGTATTTGTTTGGCAGCCAATACTGAACGTTTTCAGTGAATTTGTGAAAATGGAGAAAATTGGCCATCGTTATGTGGTACAATACTTTTAATTCAAAGGCCTCAGCGCGACCAATATAAAAGCTGAAGTGGATTCTACTCTGGGTGAGTCTGCTCCTTCGTTTACAACAGTAAAACATTGGGTAGCAGAGTTTAAACGAGGCCGTATGAGCTGCCAAGCCGAGCATCGCAGTGGTCGACCAAATGAGGTGACGACTCCAGAAATGGTGAAGAAAATTCACAAAGCGGTAGTGAATGATCGTCGACTGAAAGTGCGCGAGCTAGCAGACATAGTAGGCATTTCAAAAAGTGCGGTTCATCGCATATTATCTGAAAATTTTTACATGAGAAAGCTGTGTGCAAGATGGGTGCCTGCTCACAATCGAGCAAAAACAGTGTCGTGAAGATGCTTCGATTGAGTGTTTAGCGAAGTTTCACAGCAACAAAGCAGAATTTTTGCGTCATTTCATAACCATGGATGAAACATGGGTCTATCCCTTTACACCCGAGACAAAAGAACAATCAAAACAATGGACTTAAAAGGGACAACCGGCTCCAAAGAAGGTGAAGACTGTTTCATCTGCAGTCAAGGCTATGGCGTCGGTTTTTTGGGATGTGCGTGGGATAATTTTCATTGACTATCTTGAAAAAGGTAAAACTATCAACGACGAGTATTATGCGAACTTGTTGTAAAGTTTGAGCGATGAACTCAAGCAAAAACGGCCGCATTTAGTTAAGAAGAAAGTGTTGTTTCATCAAGACAATGCACCAGCTCACAAATCCGTTATTGCAATGGCCAAAATTAACGAATTAAATTTTGAATTGCTACCTCAAGCACCGTATTCACCAGATTTAGCCCCCTCGGATTATTTTCTGTTTCTAAACTTTAAAAAATGGCTCAGTGGTCAAAGATTTTCCAACGATGAAGAAGTGATGTCGGTAGTTAATGGCTATTTTGATGAGCAAGACATTATTATAAAAAGGGTATCGAACTTATTGAACATAGCTGGGAAAAGTGTATAGAGCTCAAAGGAGATTATGCTGAAAAATAAATACATTTTTTTACAAAATTTTTGTGTTTTCTTCGTTGGGTACTTCTGGGACCACCCTCGTTACGCTATTAGTCGTAGTCGTAGTCCATTTACACCCCCCAGCACCACAAAGATGCAGCGGGGCAAAGCGGCAGCCGCCTAAGCATTGCAATAGCTATTGGTCATTCGGCTATAAAACTTCGAACAAGTGCAGGAATCGACATAATATAAATCAGGCCATGAAGAAATGGACGGGAGTTCATTGGAACGATGGTTTGAAAAAACGCTCCCTAAGCTTGGCGACAATGCCGTCACTGTACTTGATAATGCTACATACGACACTAGAAAACTAGAAAAA